GGGGGGGGTGGAGAGAGAGAGAGAACCAACTAGTAACCATATAATTGATATACAAGAAAGAAGAAGCAACCACATACTCACCATTCTACGATCAACCATACAACATCCATCAGCACAGAGCAGAGTTGGGAATGTGTCAAACCCTTCTGAAAGACATAAACTCAGAATAAGGCGCATACCCCTTTGGCACTCAGGCATTTCAGCCAAAGAAGAATCTCCTGTAGACTTTGTATATGCCCGAAGCAGTATAATCCACCAAAATCCAGAATCAACAGGAGCAACTCTGCCTATTGCACTCTCACCAAAATCTGCAATCAAAGTTTCATAGTTCCTAACAGGATCATGGAGCACTTTAAAACTTGCTGGCATTACCCCTTCTCCTAGCTTGAAACGATCAATCTTCTTTTCCCAAGATTGCAGACGGAGAGTTTTCAAAATAAAGTTCCTTACTATTTCAGGTTCCCCATTCATCAAAAAGGCCAATGCACTTGGAACAAAATCTCTCACAAATACCTATCCAGAACAAAAGTAGTTAGGTACTATAGTCACGTAGTGAAGCTTAACAGAAAGCAATAACTGCACAAATTATTCTCATGATAATCATCGGAGAACAAGGAGATTGCATGTTCCTATGAGATATAAACATGAAAGAAGGTGATGCAGAGGTGAGAAATAAGAATTTGTCAAGGCAGCATTTATAATGCCCCACATCATGGTAACTATAAGTTAAACAACTGAATAACCATCATTGTGACTCTAATAGTTATGCCATGTAAATCATCCAACCGATAACCATTTCATGGATTATACAAGTTCAACAACTGTCTAGCTTGCAAACTGAACATGCCCAAATAGCATCCATATGATAATGATGATCACCCTTTTATGGTTAATGATAACAAGGTCAGCGCCCTTGTTATCACCAACTGAACAACCATGTGGTTGTATATTTACAATCGAACATCTAAGAAGGCCACTTGAGCCCCAACTGTTAACTTCTATCTGGGAATAGGTTTGAGATGGCATTTCTAAGGTACCTGCAATTGCATTCCCATTCTGTCCTGTAACATCTTTCAAAAGAAATTTTCACATGCTGACGGTTTCAAGTTTTGACACACCAAAATGTTTGAACTTTCTTAAAGGAAAAAAAATGTGTACAACAAAAATTTTCAAGCATGGAATGAATGGCCAATTTGGAAAAGAAAACAATCCCATTACAAAAATAGAAGCATAATAACTTGGAGATTTTGGCAACCTTAGAACAAAGTCTTTGATAAGATCTTCCCAGGAGAAGTTAGGAGTAATGTTTAAGTACCATGTATGATACTAATTTCTGCTTCAAACCTTATCAGGTTGAGAACCATTACAATGCAGAAGAGTTCTCAAAACATCTTTCTTCAAGATTGACCAATTAAATCCTTCTGCAATAGTAATGATCTTCTATAAAGCAGGCTACACTTGTACAAGGTTGTACACTTTTTTGATCTTTAATACAATACCTACCTTACTCCCAATCAGAGGAAAAAAGTGAAGACCCCCAACCCAGAAGAGGTGCAAAAGATCCCCCACCACCAACACACATACAAAACTTTAAAAGATAGATTTTCTTGCAACGCGGTTATGCTCCCATGAATAGACAACCATATGCCTAGGATACTTAGAGTTTGATATGTAGACACTAGTGTAAAAGTTTCTTCAAGGTCCTCAGCTTCTAATACTCTTACTTGGTTTACTAACTAGCATTCAAAGATCCATTAGTAAATGGTGTTAACTAGAAGAGCACCACTAACCATATTATCATTTTCAATTTAACATTTTAACACAAATAAAAATTTTGAACACAAGTGCTCCTTGCCATGTCAAGCACCGAACTTCTTTTGAAAGTTTAAATTCCTAAAAGCTTCAAGATCCAAGAATTTTATCAACCCTGAACTCTATTGGTCAAATAATAGAAATAACATATTTGTATGACTGATAAATCATGTAAGTAGGTGGTGCTCCTTGGTTGCCAATCACTAAGCTTCTTTTGCAGGTTGAAACTTGAAAATTCTGAAAGTTTCATTTTTTTTATCAATAATTCTGAAAGTTTCATATCTGTGGATACCACTCTGAACTTTGGTATTTATAAACTGCTTTGAGTTCTATGTCGGATTCCCCTTTAACTTTGTTTTGAAAAACACAACTTTTGATTTAAACTAATCAAGGAAATCTAATTTCTCATAAAAGTCGAGTGTGTTTTTTTTATAGACACTTTGTAGCATCATCAGACATACTGCATGTACCATCTTTACAGTAATTCACATATTAGTTCGCCAAAAAAGCACAATGTTCTATATGGAACTGCATCCAGGATCCATCATATGATGATCCCTATCATTAACACCTAATCAGTGTTATAAAATCTGGACTAAAACTGAAAGTCAGAGGGTAAATCCATTAGCCAGATTTAAAACTAAATCAACAGTTTGTACCAGATAGTTGACTCTTAAGCTACCAGGACTTAAAAGTCAATATTCAGTACAGGTTTCATAATATTGCACTGTTGATGGAGCCATCTGTCTTGAATTCTGTTTTGGGGGACTATACTTGGTACCTTGCCCTTCACAGCTCCACCTCTTCCTCTCAAGACTATTGACTGACCAATCAACTCATCAATCATATGTTTTCCATCAATTAACTTTAAAAACATGGTTTCATATCATATTCATTCATTGATAAGTCCATGTATGGTTTAATAATTTCATATGTAAATAATGGCATTGTGACCATGTAAGTTTGGGAGCATTCATGTTTGCCCTCTAGGATCTTTGAACTCATGAGCAACACCATAGCACAAGTTGCTGACATTTTTTAAACCCTAGAGGGCATGGTGATTTTCAGGAAGTCAATAGAATGTATATTATGTATCTTAGAAGTTGCATACAAGTATACAATCTAGGAACTGCATTCAAGTAGGTAATCATAGTAATGGAGAAAAGGCTAAGCATGGAAGCCAAAGAAGTTTAAAACCTGGGTAAAAATGACATCAAGAGATCCATCCGGTCAGGGGGCAAATCGTAGACAAGGTGATTTTGTCAAATGGGAAATAGCACAAATAACCATAAAGTGCTGTGGATCCAAAAAAAAAATAACCATATAAGTGTTATGGCAATTGATAAAGCTAACATGAGAACCACAAACACATAGGTAGCAATTGCAAATAATACGCTGGTAATGCAGTTACAGAAGTAGCAAGCACAAACATTAATACAACCATGTCTTTGTAAGCAAAGAAATCATAAGATTGCATGATAGAGATGAAGCAGGTAAGGGATGTCCACCATCCAGTCCTTAGTGCATAAATGCAGAGAAACCAGAGTTCAGCAAGACCCAAAGAAATGGGGATCTAAAATGCTGATTTTAACAGCAATGTCGGTTGTCAATCCAAAATGCTGATTTCCACAAGCTTCACACTGATGAACTTGCTCTGGCAATAAATGGACAATCTGGAGTGAGCTAAGTTCATTAGTCCTAATTCCTAAGATCCTGAACCAATGGGCCAGAATGCATCAACAGATGGGCATCTGATCAGTGAAACTTCCAGTAGATTGAAAGGTGAGCCAGTGTGATGCCAAGTTCTCCATATGCAATGAAAAGCAGTTATTACATACAACATAAACCAATTTAAAATAGTAGATATAACTGAAACCAAATAATAGGACAGTTTCTCCTCACCTATCAGCCAACTGATACTTAATTCAGTAAGAAATGAAACCTAAATGTTGTTTTCTATACACTAACATGATGAAGAAACAGAGTTTATGCATTATCAGCATAAATAAGGAGAAAGAGAGTAAGGGACTATACCTGATCATAGTTAAGTTCTTCTTCAGAGTGGTCCAATGCAGCAATAGTCCCAACTGGCTGGCCACGAAAGTACACTAAAGAACGTCTCAAAGCTTCCCATGCTTCAGCAACAATAGGGTGTGTCTCGAAATAAGTCTGTGAGCGGGGGGTGGTCAAACCAGACCTTCTACCAGGAGAATATATATTATCAAGGTGATCTATCATACGGAAGGGATTCTCAACATTTCTGGAGGAAGGTCTTGGGGAGAAACCCATAGACAATTCACCAAGAGACCTTTCATCGAAAGATCTCTGCCTTTCTATATTAAGGGGTCTATGTCTGTCAGCTAGCCTCGAGAAATCACATTCTTCGATCTCAGCCACGGTGCATAGTGGATCAACACTTCTTACGCTACCATTCTGAGACACGTCCATTACAACTGCAGGCATTTCCAAACTAACCAAATATTGAAACAAGGTCGATTCGAAGGTAGTTCAAGGGTTTCAAAAATCTGTGTTTGAACAAGCTTAAAAACATAATAGTCATCAAACTAAAACTCGATAAATAAGCACGGAAGACGAACTAAGCAATATCTCAAAGAGTTCTCAGACATACAAATCCATTAAAAATTTAAAATAAAAATAAAACTACATTAGAAAGACAGCGGAAAAAAAAAATACACTTCAACATCAAAGCATCGTAAGATTTGCATCGCACAAAAAAGTAAAAAACAAAAGCTACGAACAATCAAAAATACGAAACTACTCAAAATCCAAAGGCATTTGCAGTATATCAGCTTAATTAAGTTAGCAATAAAGTCTGTCCATAAATCCAACACCAGAGTAATGTTTACAATGCCAGCAAAGTATTTATTACGGAATAGAAATGATAATTCGAAAAAAGGAACTTGCAGAAAACAGATCAAATACTACCGGTTAATAAACAAAAATATAATCAACAAGATTTGAAACAACAATTCCTGCCTCAGAAACCCTACTACTTCAATCATGAGAGCACTAACCAAAACGGAACAAGCTAGGAAAAAATCTGGAAAAAAAAAAAAGAAAAAAGAAAAAGACTGACCTCGGAAGCGCCGGAAATGCGCAGGCTAATTAACCTAGACCACCTACCACCTGCAAGCACATCAACGGCTGCAAACCCAATAATAAATGAAACTTAAAAGAACATGCCGCCTGCAATTGTGACCATATGTGAACCTCACGAAGTTGGTACCGATCATGATAATCATCTAATTAAGTAGGAAGATGGGCCTGACAAGTGAGGGCAACGGGTTAATGCCGGTGTACTTAAGTGTGATAACCAGCTGAGCCAGTGGATCCAAGACTTGAGTTGGTCTTGGTCGATAGAGTGGCCGACAAGTGGTTCATCTCGGGAGATCCGAGGAGACCTGACACTTGAGAGCTTACCAGCCCACGACCACGAGATTGTCGCCCAGCGGGCAGCGGCCCAGCCATCACCATTCACCAATATCTACCCTGAGAACTGGACAGTTGGATCACCACCGTCTCGGCAAGTGGTAATAATCCAACCTTTTCTCGGTTCTTCCCCGGTTACTAGTTTCGAATATACTGTGCRATGGCCTTGTTTCTTGCCACGTGGCTAACATAGGGGATGAAGGACTGATCCGCGCGTAAAAATGACGTAAAAGCGTGACACGATTTCGTGCGCAGCCGGTAATCTTTGTCCTGGGCTCCTGGCCCAAAACGAATAAGAAAGGATCATTTAGACGACGTGGCTTTCTTATCCACCGTGAAAGGGAGCTTCCTCTCCTCAGAAGGAGCCAAAAAAAAAAATCATACAATATTACGTAGAGCAATTATAATGTTAAAATTTGAGAATAAAAAATATATAATAAAGAAAAGTAGTAGGGAAAATGGATCAATAATTGATGAAGGACAAATTGGTTTAAGTTTAAAGCTTATGTGAGTTTGAGAGAGGAGAAAAAAAAAGTTATATGACTAAATATGGAAGAAACACGTGAAATTCGTGAAAGGATCGTTACCCAACATTGGTCGGTTGATCCCTTAGGTTGGATTGGACCAGATGAACCTAACCTTTGGCTTTGGGCTTCTTATTGGACGAAGCGGATTCTTTGAAATTGAGAATTTTTTAATAGGAATAATCTAGGGGGTGTTTAGTATGGCTGGTTTATTTAAAAAAATGTTTGTAATTCAAAATCGAGGAAAGTGATTAGTAAACGTTTTTCTATTGTTTGCTTACAGTTAGGCGCCACGTAAATAGAATAGTAAATAAATACCTTGGTGAGAATTTAAAATTATGCTTTTTCAACGGTTGATTTGCACGTAAATCTAGATAAATGTTTATCGATAAGCATGCTTACCAAATAACATTTTTATACAAATGCTTATATGACAATGAACTAACACCATTTATCAAAGAAACATAAGCCATACCAAACACCATCATATGTTGCCTAAAAGATATGTATCGAAGGGCTTTTAACAATCAACCCCAATGAATTTTGATAAATACCACATGATCATTTATCAATTCAATAATTATTATATTATTGGTTTTAAGTTTCTGGGATCGTAGTCGATAAAGGCAACTTTTGGGCCTTGATATTAATAAAAATTATATTTTGAACATAATTATTAAAATAGGCTAACTATTTTTAGGAAAAATGTCAAATAGGGGCAGAAACATTTTTCATCTCCTTCCTCCTTCAAACCACCGAATAAATCTCCCCAAGATTAATAAATATTTATCACAAATCTATATTCTTTGTTCACCCTTGTAGTTGCTAACTTACTGCAAGCAAAAATGGCGAAACCCACTCTTGTGTTTTTGCATTTCATTATATGTATTTCGCTTATTCACATAGCATACTCATATACCTCTTCCAATCATGATTTTCAAGCCTTAATTGCATTCAAAACCGCTTCAAATACCTCTAACAAGCTTAGTTGTTGGAACCAAATCGTTGATTTGTGTACTTGGTACGGTGTTTCGTGTATTCTTCTAGGTGCTTCAAAAGAATAATTCATAGCAATTATGCTCCGAGTTTAAAACAACTCAAATGCAAAGAAGAAAAAAATAAAGGAAGAGAGAGAGAGAGAATGTGGAGGTGGAGATATTTATTTGATGGTGTGGAAGAAGAATGAGATGAATAGTATTTTTGCCTATATTTGATATTTTTGCCTATATTTTTGCCTAAATTTGCCGATATCATAGGGACTTTTTTAGCGTATGCAATACACCAATTTGAACCAAACAAGGCTAAGTGCAAGTGAAATCTGTGACATGAATCTGGTTTGAATTTGAATTCCAATTTCCAAAAATAGGTTGGACACACCAGAACTCGGCTCTAAATAAAATAAAAATGTTGCAGAGTTATGTTTTGTCATATGTTGTCACACGTCAGTTTAGGAAGAGTGCAAATATAAATATAAAATGTAAAATCTTATGTTTTATATTATTATATATATATATATATATATTAAATGCACATATTTATATTCCTCCTAACTGAGCGTACAAAAAAAATTACAAAATTAATAAAGTAGATAAGAAAAGTTATTTTAACGTTACTGGGTATGTTCGAAAATTCCATCTCTACACTATATGGTAAAAACGTTATGATCATGTCATGTTTGTTCCCTTCGAATACGTGGTCACTTGACATTAAAAAAATAATAATAAAAAATAAGCATATGGATCCAGTCACACTAATCCTAAGTTTAACGGTGGTTCAGAAAATATATTTTACAAGATGATGCAAAATATCTGTACTCTCTAGAAATTTGTAATAACATGGTTCTCTTGTGATAAGTTTACGAATATATTGTTTTATAAGTGGATGCCCTACTTTTRAAATATTATGCAAAAATATCTATACCATTGACCTTATATAACTATACTAGTGAGTAGACCTGTTCATGGGCCAGGTAGTTCGACGGGTTGGTTGGCCCGGTTTGATCTAAGTCAGGCTTGGATAAGATTTTAGGCTTGCGAGTTCGGGTTCGGACTTTCTCAAAAAAGCCCAGTCCGAGCTTGAGCCCAATTTAATAATATATTATATATAATAAAAAAACATATATAATATATTTTTCTTCTCTTTTTTCAAGTAATAATGAGATTTTTTCATTTTTTTTGTTATGTTTTGAGGTCTTTTAGTATAAATAAACAACTTTTAATTGAGTTAAGGAAAATTTTTTCCAAATTTATAGTTGGGCTCGGGCCCAGGCTTCAAGCTTTATAGTCAAGTCGGGCTCGGGYTCAAAACCTAGACCCAATGGTCAGGCCGAGCTTGGACTCAGACCTGAACATTTTCTGTTAATGTAAAGGCAAAGCCTGGCCCGAGCTGTGAACAGATCTACTAGTGAGGGCTTGTGTGATGCAAGGGCTTTGTTATAAGAAATTAAGCTAGGAGTCTTAGGTTGCATTTGGCATTCCTTATTTGAAGGGCTTGTTTCCTTTTTGCATTTAAAATGCCCTTATGATTATTGAAATTCTAATTGCAAAAAACGAGATAAGTCCTTAAGATAAGGAATGCCAAATGCAGCATTATACTATTCTTTATTGGTTTAAGTTAGACTAAATATACTACAATCATTATTTTTTGTGGCATGTATTATTGTTTGATAAATCTATATTAAATTTCATTAAATATTTTAATAATATTTATTGAGGTTATTTTTGTGGGGTCAGGGATGGGGAGTGCCTCCTCGTCCCCGCTTTACCTTGTTGTCATTCCTAACTCGAACGGTTGAACCGTTTGGCCTAGAAACTATCCAAGCAATTGGACCTGTTTCACCCCTAAACCGCTTATTTGTCAAAAATATTTAACTTGGTTAGCAACTTAAATAATAGTTTTTAGTTGCTTTTATTTTAATATATATATTTTTTAAATTGTAACAGGTCGTTCATTTAGACCAGATGGTTGAATCGCTAACCCATAAACCTATGTCCAAAAGGTTTTGGCCTAGGTCATTTTTTAAAACATTGGGACAAATATCACCCCACCCTCTACTTGGTCACCAAAGTTTGGACTTCCTTGAAACCCACCCCAAAACCAATCATCGATTAAAACAATTGCCCCGAGCGGGTTTTCAAATACACTATAGAAAAGATACAATTGTAAACATGAAAATCCAGTTGGAATTAGGTTAAACCCTTATAGGGTTTGGTCGGGTTTGGAAACCATATGTCATTATGTTGGTTTAAATAGAAGCATCAGAGGGTCGGGTTAGGCTGAAGGCAAGCCTATATTGAACTTGACTTGTGTTTATTTTTCATTATTTTAAAATTTGATTTAAATCAATTTTAAATGTGTAATTTTTACTTTTATTAAATTTTCATTTATTTAGTAAATTGTTATTGATGTATAATTCAAGTTATGATATTATGCTAAGTTTACAATAGTTTAAAACTTTTAATAATGTTAGAATTTGTTATTATAAGTTGAATGTGAAGACAAGTCCATACCCCAACTTGTTGTGCTTATTTTCATTGTCTTAAAATTGAATTTAAATCAATTTTAGTCTATTTAGTAAATCGTTATTGATGTATAATTTAAGTTATGATATGATGCTAAGTTTACTATATTTAAAATTTTTAATAGTTAGGATTTGTTATCATAAATTAAGTATAATATTCTTGTAATTAATTTTACAGTTATTATTGTTCAAATTGAAAATCAGTAATTTATTTTGAATTTTTTATTATGTTAATCATTTTAAATGGAAATTCAATAAATAATTTTATGAATTACTAATATTAGCTAACTAACTAATTAACTTTGCAAACTATTATTATTGATTGATTTTAACATACAATATATGGGTAATGTCAACAAACGGGGCCCATATTATATGTTATACCCAATTTGTATGTTGTTACGGCTAAATTTGGGAAGAATATATATATATATATATATATATATATATATTTATTTATAAGCCTCCCAAATTGAGCATACAGAGCAGTTTACTAAAGTAGATAAAAGAAGTTATTTTGACATTCTTGGATATGTTAAAAAATACCATATATACACTATATAATAAAAATGTTGGAATAATTTCATGTTTGTCCCCAATGAATATATAGTTTACGTGGTCACTTGACCATGGTTTTTAAAACTGATATGGAGACCAAGTCGGTCAGGGGTTCGATTATTGGGTCGAGCGATCCAACCATTCAAACCGAATGGTCAGTTCATTCTGACAAAATAATAAAAAAACGGTCAAAATTGTTTAAACAATTAACCACCCAAGTCAGCGATTTGCTGATCAAAATCAACGGTTTTTGAAGAAAATTCGGTTTTGGGAAAAACCGAAACCGATCACCTGACAAGTTCCTGATTTTTTCAGTCCGATTTTGAAAATCATGCACTTGACATTCACAAAAAATAAATAAATAAAATACAAAAAAGGA